AGTGGACTCCGAGCGTGAGGAGGCTCAGGCTTCCAGATGCGTGGTTGTGAAAGGCCACATGCCTGAATGAAGCTCATGGCTTCTTCCCTGAAGTCACTGAGAGCTACCACACTATAAATTCCGTTTTCTGCTTTTGTCATCCTGTCCTTTCAGCATCATGTCTCTGCCCCTTTGTGTAGTCTGAGTGCTGACTCTTCTGTTCTAGAATTAACTCCTCTTTTCCTCTGTGGATGTGAAGACAAAGATGGCAGCTGGATGGTCATGTGCCCGGCGTGATATCTGACTCAGTATTAGAAAACCAGCAAATGACTATTATCTTTAGCACTGTCTGATATTGTGTTATGATGTGTGTACTCATCAGTCAGAAAATGATGAACATGCACGCTAATGTTTCCTAAATTGTATATGTGTACTACTACTACTATATACATATAGAACATTTTCAAAGACAAAATTTAAATGAGTAAAATGAAAAAGATTAAAATTCTAGAATGTTCTCCCATTCCCTCGTGGCCATCTGGTGTGCAGCTGCTTTGGGAACAAGAGCTCTAGAGACCCATTTTCAGCCCTAATTCCCATCTTCATTAGAGCCTGGGCAGTTGGTCATCAGTACTGGCTTTGGGCCATGACTGGTGGCTCGGGGAGCCGTGGGTGAGGGCACCGACCTGGTCTCTGAGGCATGCATTGGTGTGTCCTCTCAATGGGCACTGTCTGTGCACAGAGCTTCTTGCCCACTGGACAGCACAGCCTTGCCCGCAGGACACCGCCTCAGCCTTCCCTACGCCCTGCATGTCTAACACTGTGCTGCTTACACAGAAGGTCGGTGCCATTTTGCCGAATGATACTCTCCACTCCAGTGAGCGGTCTGACTCCCAGGTCTCGCCGGCGTCTGGAGTGAAGGCAGAGCTATCCAGGCAGACAAGTCGAGAAAGTGGCAGAGACCCAGCAAAGCCACATGACTGCCCCTCCCTGAGGCCACCCCTGGATCCTTGAGCAGAGTGAGCTCTCCTAGCTACCATTTCCCACCAGACTGTCCACACTGGAATTTCAAGATAATTACAAGCTAAACATTAAATTTTTAAAAAAGAACCAAATCACCTTTAGAAAAATATACCAGTGTCTAAATTTCAAAGTGAATTTCAGATAAAACCAATGAGTTCTTGATAGTTCCTTTTAAAGCTAAGAAGGGCCTCTAGAAGCTATCTACTTCCATTCAAAACAAGTTTTAAAATGATTTTTCTGTTTTCTTTTCTGATTATAGAAATACCACACACACACACACACACACACACACACACACACACACACACACACACACAACACTTGAGATACACAGAAGAGCACAAGCAAATAAAAATATCCTAGAATCCACTAAACTGCACCCATCATTTGCAGCAAAGCTTTTATATTCAACTTCAGGTGTGGGAGAAAAGGGCTAGAACTGAGAGATGCTAGAAAGAAGAGAAATGTTCCCATTGGCCACATGCACAAGAGAATTATACATAGAATGTGTAATAATTGATAAACTAGACATTAAAGCAAGGTTCGGCCATAAGGGTAAATTAGCTAGGCCCAAGCAGCACTCCCATCTATTGTCTCTGGAAACAATAAGCCTGAACGAGTAAGAATAAGTGGGGAAAGCTCTTTAAGAGTAGATGTTTTTTTCTATTCTATTACATACCACTAAGATTTGATGGCAAGACAAATGGCACTATATCTTCTTAAGCTGCCTTCACTTTTTGAATCTAATAGTTAAGAATACAGTTTCAAGATACAATTGCTATTTTTCCATTCATTCTTGCATTACATAAATTTTATTGAATGTCTACCACATGCCAAACAGCGTGCCAGCCGCTTGGAATATAAAGCAAGTAGGGCATGGAACCCGTCCTCGGAGAGCTCACAGTCTCATAGAATCAGACAGAAGACATTTTAACAAATTGTGTCAGGGGCTCCCACTGTGGGTACTGAGAAGGACGCAGGAGGAGGCAGAAACACTCTAGAGAGATGAATATTGTGCAAACCGTACTGGCTGCTAAAAACTGTTTTTGTATTTTAAGATGTTGGTTCTCTTGGAAAGAACTGTGATGATGATGGGATCATGCAACCATCACTCCTCAGGCCTCGTGGGAGGACGGGTCTGTCCCAGGAGGGACACCCTGACCATAACCACACTCTCCACAGCATCCAGTCCAGCCTCCTGCTTCTGAGGCAGCAAAACCTCCTACATGTATCTCAAGTCCCACCAGTTCCCAATCTTCTGCTGGTGCTCTACCTACTGCTGGGGGCAGTGGGTGGGGGTGACAGGCCCTGGCTGTTTTACCCTTCTCTATTCCAGTGATTCTACCATACTGGCCCAAACAAATTGGGGCCAGGCCTCCTACAGCTTGAAATGGCAATGGAAGGAACCCTGAGGAAGAAGGCGGTAGGACGGGCCAGCCACCACCCTGGTCAGAGACTGCTGAAGGCCCCTCAGCATCGGGTATACGTGAGTTGTGCATCCATGTGGCTAGTGGCAGGCAGAGAGGTGGGAGGTGACAGAAGATGAGACTGGGGTGTCTGTAAGTTGCATTCATTCATTCATTCATTTATGCAGCCATTCATTCAACAAGCATTTGTTGGGCACCCAACACTGTTTAGCACTGTTGAATCACTGAGGATAAGACAAGATAGACGACATGTCCAGTACCTGATATTAAGTACTTTGAATGTGAGGAGAATAATTCAGTGTAAGCATATTACTCACTCTTGGGGAGTCATGGAAGGCTTCAAAGAGGAGACATCGAAAACTTAAAGGGTGAAAAAGACTTAGATGAGGGCTGCTGGGGGCAGAGCTGGGAAGGCCCATCTGAGGCCACGCACAGGGGGAGGTGAGAGCAGGCTAGAGAGGTGAGCGGGTACATGCCAGCGTGTCACGGCGAAGCAGACTGTCCAGTCTCAGGCCACACATCTGACCCTCTTGCAGATTACTTCAAAGCCCTCAACAGTGGGTTGGACCATATGAAACTGTTGTTTTTCTAGGTCAAGAATGGCCTGAAATCAGTAATTTCATATGGTTCAAGCTAACAGCTTCCCTGGATAATGTATCTCCTGACCATTTCCCCTCCTAAATTAGTTTCTCTCCAGAACAAAACACAGAGGCATGGGAAACAAGAGACTCAGAAGGACTGGAGCCTGGCGGTGACGGGTGGTGATGGATAATACTCAAGGACACACAGAGGCCACATGGAAGAATGCCAGGAGCCACCGAGAGACTTTCAGGCTTAACCCTTAGGACTATGGAGATGTTCAAAGACCAGGTTTGCATTTTAAGATGGTTGCCCCAGGCCACCTGTAGAAAGGGCAACACTGGAGACAGAAAAACATCAACGGCAGCTCTTCCAGACACTCAGTGGGAGGAGGTGGTAGCAGGTGGGCGTGAGGACACTCAAGAGGCCACACTGGCAGGACTCAGTAACTGACTGTCAGCAGGAGATGAGGACAAGGAACAAGCGTGAGTCTGTGGGCCTGCACCAGCAGCTGGTGGGAGCTGACGGCCGTGCCTTGGGCTGGACACACAGCAGAAGGAGCGGGCTGCAGGGGGAGAAGGTGAGTTCTGGGTGTGACTGGCTCATCAGTGCTGATGACAAGGACAGCGAACATCCCATGAAGCAGGAGACCAAGGGACCGACCACTGGTTGACTGCCAACTACATGCATGCCCTAGGCACAATGTCTACTAAAATCCACACACTGACCCAGAGTAGGTGCCCTTCCTTCAGTCTTCCGGTGAAAGACACTGAAGGTGGCCGTTACCTGAAGTTAGGTAGGTGATCATACCCATGCTCTTAGAACTTCAGCCTGCTACCCAGCAACCTGGCGGAACAGAGAGGTGCATGGTGCTTATGGCTAAAAATTGGTAGCCAGAGTTAAGATCAAGAGGGACATGCAGAAACCTGCCTCGGAGCACATGGGAGGCGAGGAGGGGGGCTCAGAGCAAGGCTCCTGTCCAGGTGAGCATTCTGCTTTCTAAGGAGAAGCATTTCCTTAGAGGACACCTCCTATCTCATGTATCCCTTACCCCACACCCTCCACTGACTGCCATTGTCATATAGTTCCTCCCCCTCCATGGGGCACTGAGGCAGACAAACATCAGCCAGCGGCTGGAAGAACGTGTTTCTCAAGCATTAGCATAAATCCTGAGTACCCTGCTTGCTGGTCCCAAAGAGCACAGCTCAGCCAGGCAGCACCTCCTAGCATCTCTGAAGGAGAGGCGGTACGTTCGCCAACAGCATTATCTCAGCAGACAAAGGTCTGAAGCACAGCCTACTTAAAGAGTTATTTAACAATTTCCAAAATAGTAGCAAAACAGTCTCCATAAAACTCCATGACTCCCAGGGAGCCAGCACATCTGACATGCTCAGACTTGTTTCCTTAATTAGAAGCAGATCCTGGGGACTGGCGTTTATTTTCATGAGTACAAATCCACAAAAACCAGAAACATCTTGACAGGCTGCAGCGTCCCTAACGTTTCTCAAATCTGAATTCCTAATTGGGTTAAGAAAAGAAAAAAAAAAAAAGCAACCAGGAATTTTCACGCTGGTTTTGATTCAGGATTCAAAACAGAGCCTGTGATGTGCATTTTTATATTGTTCCAAAATTGGTATGAGCTGGGTCAAAATCCATAAGACCCCCTCCAGGCATAAAAAGAAAAGAAAACCAGACCAAGGCATGAAGTCTGAATTTAACAAACCAAAGAAAAGTCTTCTTATGGAACACGAACACTACCTGTGATTGCCCCACTTTTAAACATTTTAACCTATTTACTTTTTATAAGATGAGAAAATGGCTGGGAGGTGTTTGTAGGACACCTGCTTCTTTCCTTACAAGAGTCAAAGGACTCCTTCTGTGTGCTTTGTTTTGTTAATTTATTACAAAATTGGCTGGCCTTCTTCACTTTCTCTAAATTCTGCATGACACAGGACCCACCCATGCCTGTAGTAAAGGGATTACTCCCCATACCTGTGCAGCTTGTCCTCCAGTGCCTCCGTGTACTTCGAAGTATTCTCCTTCACACCAGTTTCTGCGAAACAGAAATCCAAAGTTGATAAAACTGTAGCCAAAGACTGAACAAAGTCCAGAACTGCTCAACTAAAAGCCAAACGCCAAAGGATCGCAAACACTGATAATGCCAGCATTCCATCCTTGGAAAACACTCGAATCCACTGGAGTGGCTGCCTGGAGTGACGTGTTGGAAAGGGCCTGAGGCCCCCGGTGTCAATGCAGGAGCCGGAGCTGTGCTCATCGGGGTCTGACATAGATGCCGGTGCTCTGGGCCTTGCTCCCTTCCCACCTGGCAGCCAAGAGCTTGGTTGTAGAGTGAGAGGGATGGAACAAGAGGGAGCGGCTCCCATCCTACGGATGCATGAAGCACAGGAACGTCACAGTGGCAGCAGGGGATCGCAAACCTTTATTGAAAGACAAATGCAGGGGCAACTGGGTGGCTCAGTTGGTGAGAGCACGTGCTCTTAACAACAAGGTTGCCAGTTCAATTCCTGCACGGGATGGTGGGCTGCGCCCTTCCCTCCTCCCCCCACCCGCAACTACATTGAAAATGGCAACTGGACCTGGAGCTGAGCTGCGCCCTCCACAACTAAGATTGAAGGACACCAACTTGACTTGGAGCTGATGAGTCCCTGGAAAAAACACATTATTGCCCGAAAAAAAAATTTGTTAACCAATAAAGTTAAAAAAAGAATGAAAACGAAATAAAGTAAAAAAAAAAACGAAAACGACCTGAACTTTGAAAAAAGAAAGACAAATGCAAATGGGATCTGTTCACTAAGTAGATATCGATCGCTCAGCCTCTGAAGCTGTGAGATCAGCTGCTACTAGAGACAGACAGTGTCTTGTAATTACTGCATGTTGAAGGAATAGATGGTTATTATGGCTCAACAGATCAAAAAGGCACTTGACTAATAAAAAAAGATTTGGTGCATTTTGGGCAAGTTCAGTACCCTCTGTTTCCTCCCCTGAGCACTGCACAGGGATTCCCCTCCAGGTGATCATGGGCAGAGACGAGAGTATAAAGCGCCCGGAAAGGCAGGTGGCAGCAGACAAGTCTCCATCGGCGGGTGGTTGTATTACTGATGTTGTTGCCATTTGTATCATGACTGTTATTATTGCTGCTGTGGCATTTGCCGTTATTTTATTTCAGCCTTTATTCTCAAATGTCGTTGATGCTGAGGGGCTCACTAACACTCAGAAGCATGCTTCCTGTTTCTGGGCCCAGAGACCCTGCCTGGGGGACTCTGCACCCTATTTCAAATGGTCAACATGTATGTGATGGGGCAAGTGACAGAATCTAACATTGGTTTCTCACTGGAGCACATAGCAACCTTTTCCATAAATCTTCATCATAATCGATAATCCAAAAATATCCTTATGAGTCTGGTTGGAAAAAAAAATTACCGATCTACCCAGGAATACCATTTTCAGTGTCCTCAAGGAAGGCAGGAGGTGAAGTGAAGCAGGTCTAACTAGGTTTTGCTGCCTTGTGTCTCTTATCTGCATAACAAAAGGACAGCAATATTTGTCAGGAAATTGGTACCGGAAAAAAGGGACAGCCAGGCCGACCTGGCATCAGACTCAATGGAGCAGTGACTCTGAAACTGCAGCCCCGCCAGGCTCCATTGATAAGGTCAGCACCTTGAGGCCAGGACAGTAGGAGCACAGGTTTGAAAACAGAAGCCAGAGGGACCTCGTCAGTTCAGTACTCATCACGAATTTTGCCAAGCAGTAGCCAATTTGTTGGAATTTTCTAAAAGAACTTAAGCACCAAGTGAGGCCTGATCTCATTTTATAAATATAAGTCATCAGATTTCAAGAGTTATTATGTAAGGATCAATTTAGGTAAGATTAACTCCCATTAGTAAAATTTTCTGGAAGAAAGATGTGAAAAACAAAAGAAAAATTTTAGAATTCTGATAAATGTTTGAGCATCTAAAGTTGTTATTCTTCTATTTGAGTTAATGACAGAACTTCTGTTAATTTGCTTGATGAAACCACATATGGAGATATAAGCAAGACCCAGGGAAGTGAACACCGCAGAAAAATCGATTGCACTTAGATTGTCTTGATAGGTGGGATGGAATAAGACTGCGTAGGACCTTGAAAGCTGGCAGGATCCGTTATATGAAATGCTACACAAGTCACATTTTACGTCAAACAGTAAGATGGAAATACCAGCCATGAGCCCCTGCTGGTACCAAAGAGATCTTGACTATCACCCTGGAAATCCAATGTGTGGAGGAAATATATGATACCAAGAATGACATCAATTTAGCTAACATTTTATTGAGCATGTCCTATGTGTCAGGTACTATTCTAAACACCGACTAATAATAGTATCTCTGAAGCAGCTCCATTATTATTCCCATTTTACAGTTGGTAAAACCTAGGGACAGCGAAGTCACACAGCAAGTGAGGGGTGTCGTCCCAGGGCCCACTGTTACAGAACTCGTGACTTCAATTTTAGATAACATAGTAGGAGCTCAGGAAATGCACACTGAATAAATGCATGTGAAATTCCAGCCACCGATGAAACGCAGAAGGAGTTCCAAGACAGAAAATTCATGAGGGACCGAAGATTGGGCTGTAAAAAGTCAGAGTTACAAGGAGTACTGGGAATTGAAAGATGAGCCATCAACAAATGAAAACTGTAGGGAAGCATGGTAGTAACATATCAGCATAAAACAAATGGCCATTGTGTAATAGACATATATATATATATATAAAGGTAGGACCCAAGGTGATTTCAGAGTAGGTTGCAATGAGAAAATGATTAATAATTTACTGAAGCTTATGTTCACATTAGTTCACTCCTTCCAATAATAAGATGTCAAATTCATATGGTTTTACAAACACATTTTTATCTGCATCTATAGATTTGCTCATTTCCAGCATTTTCCTGTGGCCGCTATGTATGGCGGTCACCTAGATAGACCTCTCTAGAGCGGGTTCCTGAGTTCAAAAGGACATGGTCCTTCCCAGGTATTAGACTAGTCAGGGTAAATCCTCCAGGGTTGTATGTAAATCCTCCAGGGTCGGAACCCAAGAAATGCACCGTCACTGCAATGGATTCACTGCAATGGATTCACTTCTCATCGGGGGACATCGTTCAAGTGTTGGTATTAACTCTCTCTTTTCTCCTGATGTTGGTAAGAGATTTGTGAGAGAAGAAAAGTAATTAGCTGTGGGTCCTACAGAATTAATGAACTGTGACCAAGACCAGGCTTTTCTTGAGGGTTGTATCTGACTCCCATTCTTAGACCTATCTCACATTTCTTAAATGCACCCCCCATTCCAGGTTGTGCAGTAGGCATTGGGGCCGCAGAGATGAACAGGAGAAAAGCAGCTTTGGTGACAGTCAGCCACATGAACGAATGGCTGACAGAAGAAAGGAGGTTGGCGGGATGGTAGAAACATAAAGCGGCTGTCATTTTGGGAGCAGAGATCCAGCCAGGCTTGTGGGGGTGTGAGGATGCCTCCCGGAGGAAGTGCATCAAGTGGAGACTGAAAGGATTTGCATGCAGGCTGCAGCCAGCGGAGGCGCGGCTAAACCAAGTCAGCAGTAGCACATACAATAAGAATGTCTGCCATTTAATGTCCTATCGTTTTCCTTGCCCAGTAATTTCCAAATCATTTTTCCCTACCCTTACACTAAGATTACCCAATGTAGTCCATGACACCAACTCAAGGAAGACGGGGTAACTACAGAAAACGGGCCGGTCCAAAAGCACAGGCTCTGAGTGCCCGCCACTGCTGTCCCCGTCACACTTGCAGGTGGGTGTAGAGATCAACTTCTTTGTCCAGATTTTCTCTGGGCAACGTGAGTGGGGATGCTGCTATGGCAACTTCAGGGGCAACCAAAGGGCAGACAGTGGGGCAGCTTCCTCAGAACTGCAGTGTCAGCATATGCCTCCTGCATCCATGAAGAAAGCAAAACTAATTATTTGAACTATGTTTATGCTTCTGCTTCCCTGTTCTGTCCTGTGTGATGGTGTGTGGCTGCAGCTGCCTCTGAGAGCCCTGCCCTATTGTCTTTGAACCCAGAGCACATCGCAGAGACTTGTGAGTCACCATACTCAAATCAGTAGAAACCGCACCTACTTTGAAAAGATGGGAAGAGATAGTGGACCGGAAAAGGAAGGAAACATGAGTAGAGAAGTTCCAGCAGGTTTAAAATGTTTAATATTTAGTGAGTGCTCATGCTATGTCACAGGTAAAGCCCAGGTTCCAATTTCACCTGCTGTATTGCCACCAATTAATTAGGTGTCATCTGATACAGTAATTCTCACTTTCCCTGTTCAGACCTGTTCCCACATGCAATCTCTCCGTGCCTTTGAAGAACACAGCCAGACAAATCAGCACTATTCAATGACAAAAAGATAAACCAAGTGCACATGGTATGGAAAGAAGGTCAGAAAAAAGCTAAGACTATCAGTTCCACAGCCTCACACTATACCCGCAACAGCCCCCCACTCCCACGTCCCAGCCCACCAAACATTTCCACTAAGTGAAAAGACAGGCTTCCTCTCCCACTGCTCCCGGTCAACAGCGGGGAACCTAGGTTTGCTCCCTTGCTTTCTAGCACATCATCAAAGAGTTGTGACCTGGAGATTCAGTTACAGAAGTTTAAAAATTGCTGAAAATGTCCATTTATTTGTCTTGCCTGGAGTGTGCATACACTCTCATTCACCTTACTTCCCTTCAACATGCACGCACACATGCACACATCTGTATATATACACACATGTACACACACGTGTGTACAGTGCACATGCACGCACACATGTACATGGGTACACATACACACATGCACACATCTGTACATATACACATGTGTACACACGTGTGTACAGTGCACATGCACACATGTACACGGGCACACGTATGCATATGTACATATGCACGTGTATACATGTACATGTGCACACATATACACATGCATACACAAACACACACATGTATACTGTACACACACACACTATTTGCTTCTCTTTATAGTTTTTGATAGAACAG